TAGGAACACATTTCATTCATAAAAAAAAAGTATTACATGTTTATACTTCATTCATCGTTTTATTGGTATAAACAGGATCGCCATTTACATACTGACAAAAATAACGCTTTATGTATAGTGTATACACGTTATGCACTATGCTAACACTATACAATAATGTAACCTGGTACTTTACAAAAATGTGTAGCCGAAACATAGAAACAATAGCTTTTTCCCGAACTAGCCTTCCAGGGACTAGACTTTTAAAATCGTTGGACCCGGTGTAAACTCAGAAATTACTAGTAATTAACAGATTTCTCTAACTTTAAATAGAAATAGAAGTCCATTTTAGCAAAAAATGTCAAAAAGTAACTAATACTGACATATCATCAGGTTAAAAGAGGAAAATAGCCCTCAGATCATGAAAGTGAATGGCGCTTACACAAACAGTCAAAAGACTAAATTTTCAATAAACAAAGAAGGCCTCAAACAAAGTTCTTCAAAAATACATGTACGTGTAGCAAAAACATAATGGCAGACCTAACATGAAGTTAAATGAGGCTTGGCAGAAAACAATATCACGTCATTACAAAAAAAGATCATTTGCTCAGAAATTAATTACATGAACACGTATTCAATTTACAATGTCGTTAAAGACAAGCTGTCGGTTTCGTAAAGTTTGCGTTGTCGCCTCTACAAAATGAGGCTTAGTTGTAGATTGAAGGCCAGGAGGTATGCCCCCCCCCCCTTGCTTCAGGGGACCATAGCGAAATGTTTTAATCCTGGAAGGACAAACTGCCCCATGTCTGTCTGCGGGATGGCGTGGTGTTGGTGTCGGTTGTGATCGCAGTCAGGCCGGAGCGGCGTGCTGGGCGCGGGGTGCACCCCGGGCGGGAGTGCAGCGGGGCCGGCCTGGGTCGTCGGAGCCTGCCGGGCGCTTTAACACAGCACCCTCGCCTTTAGATCTGAGCCTGGGTGTGCAGTCTGCCTGTTTGCCTCCAGCCTGGCCTGCAGGACATGGAAAAACGAAAATCTAAGTCAAAAGTCGAAGGCATTTTTGAATTTAATTTGAAGTTACGTGTACATGTACTAGACGTTTTATAAACAAGCCTGGCAAAGATGCGGACGTCTGTATGGACACATTTCGAGGAGAAGTCATTTATCATTTTTAACGAATGTTTTTAACGTCAGACAGCAACAATTTTGTCCAGATGAAAAGGCTCCATTCATCAAGCATCAACGTCTACTTGTTTCTTTTCATTGTAATCATGGGAACAATACAAACACAACATTTCCCTCGGTAATGAAAAGAATTCAAATTGACAAGAGCCTTGTCGGCCTTCGTATGCAAAGATATACATTTGCATAGACTCACCCTCTTCTGTGTGACTGCAGTCGCTTTTCTTTCTTTCTTTTCTGAGCTCTCCGACAGCCTGGCGATAAAGTTTCTTCAAATCGTCTCAAAGTATCCCAAATCCGCGCCTGAAAAAAGTACATATGTTCTGAGCAACATACAAACTATATCGATGTACTTCTAACATGGAGGTAAACCTCCATGCTTCTAAGTAGAAATAATAAACTATGTTATTAATCAGTAAAAAAATAGTGTACACTTCTTGCCAAAATAAATATTTCTGCCGTAGGCACAACTTAGCCAAGGTTTTTAAACAACATGTTTAAGATATATGTAACGATAGTGCCGTATATATAATAGTATCCTTGTTTTAGCTTACCCTTCCTCCTGTCGGTTTGCTGGTTCGTTGCGGTGTTGTCCTTTCAATGTAGTAGAGTCATTTCTTCCGTTGCGAAAACGAAGTAACAGAACGGAATGTTTGACGCCATTTTAGTTCAGGAACATACTAGTAATCTTTGCAAGCCGAGACAAACGTGTTTTGAAAAAGCAAACCGCCGTTGTGACAAAGCAAGATTCAAAGACCCACCAAAACAAAGTATCGCGTCTCTTATTGGCTGGTCCCGGCGAGAGCGAGGTAGGATTGGTCGTCAGTCATATAATCACGTGATCGCGTTCAATACTACAACCATCTTGTTTTTATATTATAGGTTTTAAGTTAAATCGCCTGTGCAGTCTGAACACTTGGATGATAGGATGTTTCTGATTGTGTGAATGTATTTATTTCAAGGCAGACAAATGATCTTCATAATTCTAATTCGTCATGATTACATGGCTTTATTCGTTCTAGAATTACACAACTTGTCGCTCACTAAGTGAAATAAAACCGCACTTCAACTCCAACATAACCTTACTCTTTGTAAATGTATCCAAAATCCACAATTAATGTCATGAGGGTTGACTTGTTTTGCTGGATTTCAGTATTTTACCAGGCGTGGGGACGCTGTGAGTTCTCCCTTTGTTTACACAAAGGCTATTCACATAAACGGACGCCATGTCAGACACATCGCAATACACATCGACCGAACAACAATGTAAAGCTTGCATATTATTACCCATACATGTACCTAAAAATCATAGCAAACTGATCAGGTCATGTTAGTTCAAACCCCTTTAGTCAAGCGTTTGATTACATCATGGTAATGAACCTCACGGATAAACTATTATTTCCAAAATAAAAAAAAATTCAGATTTAGACCGGAGTGTAGATTTAGGTCATTTTGACCGAGTAGGTCATATAACCCCAGCGTCGGGGCGCCCTACGCTCAAATGTGCTTTGTCGTATGGACGACATCACGACAAATCAAGCCAAGGACGCATAGGTTCAAATGTTGTATTAACAATCCTTGATCATTCTATATCTAATTTGCTTAGATTTAAGTGCTAGCAACTTTGGTTCAAGTAATTATCACCTGAAACATGAATACACGCAGTACCTAATTACCCCTTATTGTTAGCCGCTCCCCAACACACGCCAAGTGTGCGGGGCGTAAATTTCCTTGCACGTGCACGGCGAGCACGAATCCGGGAGTGTAAGGAAATATCCGGGGCCGTACACGCGGAGCCCGGAAATCCATGGACGCGACCAGGACACGGCGAATTTCACGAAGATCGAGTCTGTGTTTACAAATTAGTAAGGTACGCCTTATGCGTTTCTTATCCTATTTAACAAAACCATATTTCTATATTATTCCATACCCTCCAAAAAGGCCACTTTGCCTGATGCAGCATGACGTACACGTATATAAGTGGCGATGGTTTGGTCCCCCCCCCCTTAATTTCCACCATATATCCGACCGAAAATGTCTTCAAGTAATCGTCCTACTTTGGTTCTTTTTCCACAGAAATGGCCTCAAGCTCTTTCCCTCAACATCGGAATACCATTCTGTTCGTTTCTAAGTCTTACCTGCTTCCTACGATATTTTTCTCGTCACGTAAACAGAGACTCGGCCAGATTTGAAGCTTTATAAATATAAATTTAATTTGCTGTCTCGTGAGGTAACAGGTTAATCCAATGTGGGCCAAAGGTGGAATTGTAGGCCTGATTACCCATACAATGCATTTGACGCCGGGTGGCACGTTACGCTTTCCTCAAAATGTGAAAGTTCTGCGTTTAAAACTCACCGCCGAACGAACGTAACACGCGTATGACCTTGTTTATGTTTTTTTGTTGATCTAATATAAAGAGATTTTTCAGGAATTAATTTCTTTAGCCTGCTGTAAGTGTTTGGTTTGAATCTTGATTTCTGTGTTTTGTTATCACCTCGATCTGACAACATTTTGTCCAAGAAAAATCCAACACAGAAGGAAACGTTATATTCAAGGCCCCAAACAATTTAATTATGTGGATACGTTATCTAAAAGAAATGCAAAACAAACAGGAAATTAAACTTGTATACAAGTTAATAATAATACAACACAACTTCTACCTTTTCACATGTAAAAACATTACTCCGTTTTTGGACTGATGGAATCAACACTATCGACTTTTTATAGAACCAGACGCTGATTTACAGTCAATATTAGTCACATTAGACACATACAAAAGCAGCACTAATTATAACGTCCACCCTTTAACTACTGCAAACATTTACTTACCGATATGTTAATAACTGATTATGTACATGTACGTTATCCAAACAAGTTGACTGTTTTTCACTACAATTCTAGATAGTTTAAGAAAGGATTATGAAATATTTTCAAATATAGTTGATGCAAGAACAAAGCATACAAGGTTGGCTAAGTATTATTCTTCAAACTAAAGCATGGTTTTAAAGAGAATAGAAATACAGTGGACGAAAAGTACATGACTATAACATTTTCTCGGGAAAATGTTTGCCTATTTACAAATATTATGTGTCGTTCGTCCAAAAAAATACAATATATAAAACAAATATTATACATTATGACGGAATACGTAAACGTTTTGTGTATCAATGTGATATATCATTGGTATGAAGGTCGAAGCTATAGTTAAGATTGTCCATACAGAAATTTGCCACTACGACATTGTCACAGTTGCAGAGTTGGTGCCTCAAAATTTGTGAATTCTCATATGTCTAGTTAAGGCAGCCTTATTAGAGGCTGCAGAATAGTCACACTGGTCACACTTATAGGGATTTTCTCCTCCATGGGCTCTCATATGATGGATCAAGGAAGACTTGTGAGCTGTCCTGTATCCCCACTCCCCACACATGTAAGGTTCTCACCATTGTGTCTTACTATATGTTCGTCCAAGGTACCTTTGTGTGCTGCAGAATAGTCACACTGCTCACACTTATAGGGATTTTCTCCCGTATGGGTTCTCACATGTCGAGAGAAGTCGGATTTTGCAGCTGTCCTATATCCACATTCATGTAGGGTTTGTCACCAGTGTGTTTTGCTAGATGATCGTCCAAGTGGGATTTCCGTGCTGCAGAATAGTCACATTGATCACATTTGTAGGGCTTTTCTCCTGTATGTGTTCTCATATGTTTTGATAAGTCAGACTTTTGGGCTGTCCTGTATCCACACTCCTCACACGTATAGGGTTTTTCACCGGTGTGTTTTACTAGATGATAGTCCAAGTTGGATTTCCGTGCTGCAGAATAGTCACACTGGTCACACTTGTAGGGTTTTTCCCCTGTATGGGTTCTCATATGTAGAGATAGGTAAGACTTTTTAGCTGTCCTGTACCCACACTCCTCACATATGAAGGGTTTCTCACCAGTGTGTTTTGCTAGATGTCCGTCCAAACTGATTTTACGTGCTGCAGAATAGTCACAATGGGCACACTTGTAGGGTTTTTCTCCTGTATGGGTCCTCATATGTCGTAATAAGGCAGATCTATCAGCTGTCCTGTACCCACACTCCCCACACATGTAGGGTTTCTCACCAGTGTGTGTTGCGAGATGTCTGTGAAAACTAGATTTCAGAGGTGTAGAATAGTCACACTGGTCACACCTGTAGAGTTTGTCTCCAGTATGGATTCTTATGTGTCGAATAAAGGCCGATCTGTGAGCTGTCCTGTACCCACACGTCTCACACATGTAGGGTTTCTCACCAGTGTGTTTTGCTACATGTCCATCTAAGGTACATTTTACTGCTGCAGAATAATCACACTGGTCACACTTGTAAGGTTTCTCACCTGTATGTGTTCTGAGATGTTTGGATAAGTCAGACTTTTGAGTTGTCCTGTACCCACACTCCTCACACATGTAGGGTTTTTCACCAGTGTGTTTTGCTAGATGTTGGTCCAAGGCACGTTTGTGTGCAGTACAAAAGTCGCACTGGTCACATCTGTAGGGTTTTTCTCCTGTATGGGTCCTCATATGTCGTAATAGGGCAGATCTATCAGCTGTTCTGTACCCACACTCCCCACACATGTAGGGTTTCTCACCAGAGTGTTTTAGCAGATGGGTGTGTAAATATGATTTTCGTGCTGCAGAATAGTCACACAGGTCACACTTGTAGGGTTTTTCTCCTGTATGGGCTCTCATATGTATGGATAGGTTGTACTTTACAGCTGTCCTGTACCCACACTCCCCACACATGTAGGGTTTCTCACCAGTATGTATTAATACATGTTGGTCCAAGGAACTTTTGTGTGCAGTAGAAAAGTCGCACTGGTCACACTTGTAGGGTTTTTCTCCTGTATGGGTTCTCATGTGTTGGGACAGGTTGTGCTTCACAGCTGTCAGGTACCCACACTCCCCACACACGTAGAGTGTCTCACCAGTGTGTTTTACTACATGTTGGTCCAAGGTACGTTTGTGTGCAGTAGAAAAGTCGCAATAGTCACACTTATAGGGTTTTTCTCTTGTATGGGTCCTCATATGTCGGGATAAGCTGGACCTGTCACCTGTCCTGTACCCAAACTTTCCACACATGTAGGGTTTCTCACCGGCGTTATCCAAGTTGACTTGTGCACCGGTCTTGTCTCTAGCATTAATTGTCTCACCGTCACAGTCGGCCTGAGAGATTCCGGTGGGAGACCCATCACAAGAAACCTGACCAACTCCGGTGGGAGACCCGTGTCCTGTCGTTGCCATATTGAGGCTAATGAAAAAAAAATGTAAAGCGTATTGTAAAGATTAAGCGTCAAAAGCTGCCAATGTCGTTGACACAATAATAAAATTAGGTTTATAGAAAACAAGCTTTAAGGAGTTACAACTTCACCAACCTTTATAATTTTACCCTAATGCATGACAAAGTAACACACCATAAGTCCAACGTTCACCTTTGTATTAATCTGCTTCTTATGTTGCTACATAATTTTTGAGATCTTACAATCACTCACCCACACCACCGAGCTCGCTCAAAATCTTTTAATGAAGCATCTATTACTTCTACGGCTACAAACAATGGGTAAAACCATGGAGGTTTAAAATTCTCGGTAAAACTAACTGCATTCTCCAGGCTGGAAAGAAAGCCGTGTCAATTTTTTGTCACTAGGCTTCTTTATTCGAAGTTTTCACAGATCAATTCTACGTGTTTCTAGATTCATCACTTACAATTTATACGATTATTTACAATCGAGTGAACATTTCTATTTAATTTTACGTCCTTCAGAAAAGGTCACTTTTTCTGATGCAGGGTGACTTAAATGTATGTGGTGAAGGTCGAGAATATGTTTAGTTTGGCCCCCCTCCCCATTTATTTCCAGCAATCATATAAACACCCTGAAAATGAATACAAATTATCGTCCTACTGCGATTCTCCTTCGACAAAAATGGCCATAAACTATTCCAATTAGCATCGGAATACTTTTCTGTTCGTTTCTAAGCCCTACCTTCTTCCTATGATGTTTTTTCTTTCTTTGCTTAAACCGGAACTCGGGCAGTTTTGTCCTTCTGTCGTATCGTGAGGTCGTCAGAGGTGAATACATTACGGGTCAAATGTGAAATTATAAACCAGTCGAACCGCAGGTCACCGTAGAACGCGTTATTCTCTAAGATACGGCATTTGCCGGGTCACGATTTGACCCCGTTGCATGGGTGTAAACAACTGTCTATATTGTAACAAAAAACCTCAGACCTACATAATGTTTATACTTTTTCAAACTTATACTTACTCCCCCCCCCCGGAAAAAAAAAACTGTGACGATTCGCACATCGTGGTGGTCAAATTTTAGCACAGTTGTAAGCTACTGACACACACCATCCCGAGTTTCCGCTACATTTTGAGACATTTCGCGCAATGTCATAAAATTCGTTTCTTGGTATGAGAAATTGTATGAATATGCGGCTACCACATGCATTATAATAAGTGATATGATAACATTCAAGTATATACAAAAACAGGAATTTAATACAAGGTTCTGACCATTCAGAAATCGTCAAATTTCAAGTCACTCGGTTTCGAACTCCTGCGTTCGATCCATGGAGCCAAGACAGCGCGTTCCATTTTTCGCGCCGCGGGGGTCATCTCACAATGTTGCAACTTTCACCCGCTGTTTGCGAAAGTTCATTAAAAGAAGGGATCAAGTTTTTTCATCACAGACTTTCTGAAACTCATTCTAAGTAAGACTTACAAAATGTATATCATAAAGACGCTAGAGAAAGTGGGATTCATGTGCAACTATATAAATGTCAGTACATATGCCCGATGTTTGTATATTAACAGTAACTGGTCATAGTGTCCGATTTCCCTTCAAAAATTAGGTCATGAAAAATCATCCTGTTGTTGTATTTGTCCATGCCCAAATTCCTTCTCTTCTGTTTTCATCCGTAAAGTGGGCATCGTTTTGAAGCGTACTATTTGGTCGTTATTCTTTCATTTCATTTTTGTTCTATATACCTTCTAACAGAACAATTTTAAAGGCAAAGAAACTGTAAAGAAATTACACTTTTTCTCAAGGTCGAGCTGCAATACACATTGTGCAACTTCAAAACTAAGTACACAGGTGTCAAGCCAACATAACTATATTTCAGCCATATCTTACATTACAGGTGTATTGGTTAGAACTAGTTGCAAAAGCTTGCGATTCGAACAAAAATCGTTGAGAATTAGACTGAACATGGACTGAATGAGCCCAACTTACTATCGTTTACTATATTGTAACAACTACAGGATCCTAAAAGAAACAACACACGATAGATGAGGGAGGGTCTATACTTTATTAAACATTACACCAAATCGACGATGAAATAGGGCAAACGGGTTTGCCCCCCAAGAAACTAAAGGGTACCTATCTCGAGTGGAATCATCTCCATCATACACGGTCAACTTTGAAACCTCGTTTCTCCAACAAACACCACCGGTAATGTACATCTACGACCTTGAGCGTGACGCTGGCCCTTCTTACATCTCGCATTAACGTATGACAAGGAAACACTTACGCAAAGCGGAGTTACAAGAGAAACAGTAAACCTTAGCAAACTCTCGCGGATTCTCGCGGATCACATTACCTTGGAAAAGAAGTGCGAGATTTAAACGAGATCTTAGAGAGAGCTGCGCAGAACCGATGCGCATAGCGGTCTGCGGTTCGACTGCAACCTGATTACCCATGTAGTACATTTGACGTCAGGTGGCATGTTACGTTTTAGTTTCTCATAATATAAACGTTTCACACTTTCAGACTACCGAAACAATAAAGACATGCATATGAAGAAAGGCGACACATAATTAGAATAATACATTTTTTTCCAATGTACGTAATGATTTAATGTGGAGAGATTCAAACTTACTAACGTTTTGGACCGCATTCGCCTTGCTGCCGAAGGTGACATGATGATAACGTAACGAAAAACAAAACATTTCATCCACACCATGCACGTATGAGTGCATGAGTGGTTGTTCATTGTAATCTACATATCATGAAGAACATTATCTTAAAATCCCAAACGGAAGTCCAAGAACCACCATCACCAAACTACGAATCAGCTGTCATAAACTCAGTATCGAAACAGGAAGGCACAACAGGAAGGAACACCTCTGGAGCAAAGGATTTGCCAATTCTGTAGCTTAAACAAGGTAGAAGACGAAGCTTACTTTGTTATTGATTGTAGTTTATATAGTAATGAAAGAAACGATCTTTTAGACATATTACAAGTACGTTTCCATACTTCCAATACTTGCCTAATATTGAAAAATGTATCTTTCTTATGCACTTTGATAATCCTGTATTATACAAACCCACTTCAAATTATATTTTTAACATCACAAAGAAAAGAGAAGAAGCCGAACTTCTGTATTAGAGTAGCTTTAGAGCTGTTTGTACTACAAATATGTATATTACCCATTTCATCTGTGCGCCTGTTTTGACTTAGCCCGATAGGGCATGAATGTACAATAAAGGTTATTATCATATAGCCGGGTGGCGTAGACCAATCAGAGGCCTCCGTTACCCGTGCTTTATTCTCCGATAAACCATGGCTCAGCCGTGCGTTATTCTCCATAAACCATGGGTGAAACCATAATGATATAGGGGTACACAGCTCTTTCTGTTAATATTCATAGCAGTTTCCTGGTCAGACAAAATTATGTTTTTTTTAAGCTTCATATAAACTAAAATGTGTGTGAGTATGAAATGTATATGTAAATAGATAGAATTTGAACGGGAGAGCAAAAACCATACTTATTTTGACACCCCTACAAAAAGTGGTATCGCCCACATCACCTGACTGAATCAGACCAGGGATCAGACGATTTATTTTTTTTGGTCCGCCATCTTGCCTTCTTGTGTCATGGAGAGTTTGCCTAATTTCTACATGGAAGAGATAACAGACGCGGATTTAGATGAGATATTTGGACCCATGGAGGTCGAGGAACAGACGCTGGAAGCTACACCGGAGACAGAGGTCAGCAGGGTGCGTTTCGCGTGTCTGAACGAACAACAACTTAGCGAGATAGAGGAGGGGCGAGTTGAAAAAACTACTGAAAGGGCAACCAAGTGGGGAGTGAAGCTTTTGAAAGGTGGGTGTGTTCTTTTTTTCAAGTGATTAGCAGGAATAGAATTACATTTGTTTTGCTAATGTTATTGTTACTGTAATATCGACAGGCTGCCAAATTTATAACAGCCCTGTACTGAACTGGAATTTTACAGCAAATTCTCTGATTTAGAATATAATGTTGATAAGTGTGCCAATATGTTATTGGTAGCTGGAGTCTCGGAGAAGTCAGTATTATTATCAACATCCTGTGGGTGTAGTGGAAAATGAATAAACAAGCCAGTTGCAATGCTGCAAAAGAAACAATTCTAAAGTGTAAAGTTGTAAACTATATTTATTGTAAAATGATCTCCATATTTATTTTAAAGTACAAACCATTATTATAATATTTTGGAATGTATTGTTATGTAAATATTAAAGGTTTAATGTTTTGAACAGGAATTGTGTTGATTCATTGTGTCAGTTTGGATAGGCTATATGATAATAACGTTAATGCACCGCCTTTTCCTCGGTGTATATGGTGTCATAAATGCATGGTCAGCTGCTATAACCACCTCATAAACCACCTCGTTCGCTTCGCTCACTCGGTGGTTTATTCGGTGGTTATAGCAGCTGACCATGCATTTATGACACCATATACACCTCGGGGCGGTGCATTAACCCTTTATTATTATTCTGTAATCCCAGGCGTGTTGGAAGCAGGTCTGATCCGGTTTAGAAGCGGATCGTACTCAGATGCGGACGATGTCCGCCAGTCGTGACTTCTTGCGTCCATGGCAGGCAATATTCCATCCGCATTATACAGACATTTCTTTATCACCAGTAGATATTATGTACTGCGTATACGTAACTTAATCCATTAACATGTTTAAGTTTAGTCACATGTCCTTATATACATCGTATTTTGGGCTTCCCTTTCTGACTAAAAATAAACAAACTATTAAAGATCGACAAACATGTCTGCAAGCATAACTGAATAAAGTCCACCGTTGTCTGGGTGGCAAACTTCCGAGCGTGATGTCATCAGCGCCCGCTAAGGAATAAACCCATAAAAATGTTCCTCATTTCCGTGTGCAACATTCCGCTTGTTCATCAAATCTCATAATTTCTAGGGCTTTTGATGGGCTATTAAGTAGAGTACATTCATTCCTTCCTCAAACAAACCGACATATTTCTAAGTAAGACACCTGGAGCCACATAGTTGCCGTTTAGAACATTTATTTAACGTTTATTCAACGTTTACAAAGATTGTGGCGAAGGCAAAAAAATTGCCACGCGAAATATCATTATTTTTAAGGAGTAGTTCAGTGCAAGGCCTATGCAACCACTTCTCGACATTGAACTAGAAAGATGAAAGGAACGTGGCTATGTCACTGAGAACGTTTGATTTGAAAGCCTGTAGATTGTAGGTTGGTGGGAAACACTTGTCAGGGAGGGAATTCCAAAGCTTGGCCGTACGGGGAAAGAAGCTGTCACTGTAAAAAGATTTCGAACTAGGAATTTGGACGGTCAGGTTGTGTGAGCTAGTGGAGAACCTAGTGGAACGCTTAAAAGTTCTGAGTGGTGGAACTAGTTGGGTGAGTTCTGCAGAGCAATGACCATGAAAATATCTGTAAAAGAGGTGTAGAGGTGTAAAATTATAGTTGTGTTTTTAGAAAACGTCTCTTCTATACCAGTACACGATGCCTTCTTTGTCCAGACGGTCCCATAACTCGATCTCTCGTTCGTGATTGTGACTCCCCATCACATTTGCGAACTTCTGATACTGTGGGTCGAAATAGTGGTTGCTGTACTTGATGTTGTAGCCCATTCCGTACAGACTGAGCTTGTCACAGGCATGCAGAGCCGTCATCGTCATGATGGCGCCAGTTGTGGGACGAAACGAACGGACCCTCATCCACCTAGTGAAACAAAGAGTGTTATTCGTAAATAATTTCATCAGGTTGGTAAACGACTGATCATGAATAGCAAAGGTTTTTTTTTTTTATCACAACCATTTATTTTTTTAAGCCGACGTTTCGATGACCTTCTGTCATCTTCATCAGGGCAATTCTGACTGGTTTACTGCGCAATTACTTGGCAATTCTGTATGGATTAGAAAATCCAATCAAGTCATAAACCGTGATGAGGGGGGTATAAACTTAGTCATGTTTGGGATCACATTCTTAATAACTGACATTGGTTTTCTTATTGTTTGTTACTATTATGATTCCTAACAATACATATGTAACAAGACTTAATAATTTCTATTTGGGACTGTCATAGCTCAGCATTGTCAGTTAACAAATCTTATATTATATATAGAAACACTTTACATTTGGAACCGCATATTTCCCTATGATGTAACAATGCCTAGTATGTATGTCACAATTACACTACGTTCCGGAATGTATCGTAAACAGAAAAAAACTAGCTTAAGTGCACTATGAACTATGTAACACCTTTAGTGCACTATGCACCAAGTAACATCTAGTGTCAGTGCACAGTAAAACAGTCAGAATTGCCCTGATGAAGATGGCAGAAGGTCATGGAAACGTCGGCTTGAAAAATAAATGGTTGTGATAAAAAGAACTTTGCTATTCAAAGAATGTTATTGTACGTGGCACAGCGCAAAATCCTTTATCTACGCATATGGTTTAGGATTTGGCTGTTTTATTACCAAGATATTTATGATTGGTGTCGTTGAAAGACAGGCCAAAATGTCCAGACTGCATGATGTACAAAATTACTAATAAACCGATGGGCGTACCAACTGTTAAGTATCAGCAAAAAAAACACAGAAACAACTAGAAAGGCCAATATTTGCTTTGGAGCAAATACAGCGATGGGTTCACCACATTTTACCACATGGCAGGGAAAGAATGAGAAACACAAGGGAAAACAATGATTTACATTGATATAACTATAATATGAAGTAACAACTAAAACAACAGTTGGATAGCTATTCCCTACTTTATTGGTTAGGATTTTTAATTGCATAATGCTGTTGATTTTCAAAATAAAATAAAAAACGTTCATGCCCCGCATTCCAATGCTGGAGCAGAAAAGCTTGAAATACCTACCAAAACACTTGAATAAAGACATACTGTCAGTATGGAAATGCTCTGTGCAGGTGTTAATCAAGTTAAATCCCAACAGCCAATCAGCAAGAAATGCTCTGTGCAGGTGGAAATGCTCTGTGCGGGTGTTAATCAAGTTAAATCCCAACAGCCAATCAGCAAGAAGTATAGAGGAAAGCTGCATGCCTATTGGTTGATGCCCTGCATTCCATTGTGATGACTCATGCCCAGACGTGGTAAACACGCACACTAACACAGTAATACATTTGCTATAACACAGCCAAAAAACTCAAATAAAACCATTCTAAAAGCCTGTATCACAAAAATTTAAAAAACGCCTAGGGGTATTTGCCCACTGTACCTCCATACCAAATTTCAGGACCTTAGGCCCTAAACTGAAGAAGCTGAATCCATTTAAAGATATGGCAGGAGGAGAAGGAGAAGGAGGAGGAGAAGAAACATCAGAAAAAGCAATATGGGTTCACCACCACTTCGTGGTGTGGTGAACCCATAATCATGTTTAGATCCAACACGAAAGTTCTCTCACCTAGAGCTTTCGACCAGTCACTCTGGTCTTCCTCAGTAGACTGACCCAGTGAGGCTTGTCACGTGGCTTCTTTGAAGTTTGACCCAGTGTTGACGTCACGTGACAAGCCTCATCGGGTTAGTCTACTGAAGAAGACCAGAGGAACTGCTCAAAAGTTCTAGGTGAGAGAACGTTTTGTGTTGGATCAAAATCAAAAGTTTTAACACTAAACCTGTAACTACCAACAAAGATGAAGTTTTGTGATAGTATAAGAAATAAGCATGTCTTCAAATATCAGATTTATCAACCAAGAAGGATAATCTGATAATCTGGTGTGTTACGCCGATTGGCGATTCTACAGACTTTACAGATACAGATACAGATGCTACTAAATATGTGACTTACACGAAATGAATGTATCGCAGGAAGTCAGGATGGAGAACTCTTATGTTCTCAGGGGGTGCTTTGAACTTGTTTATGCCGTCTCCTATCCTCTTAAGATACACATAGTCGAACTTACGACAAGGCACGAATATATACGTGATATTCTGAAAATAATAAAGATATATTGTTAAGTGTTGAGCATACTTTTTCCTCCCCGTCAACTAAAACTAAAAGATTGTAGTTTCGGATAGAAAAAAATTGCCTAAAAGGGAAACATAAAAAAACGTAGTCGGCACAGACACCAGGGAATCACAGTCAGCACCAGGGACAGGGAAACACAGTCAGCACCAGGGACAGGGAAACACAGTCAGCACCAGGGACAGGGAAACACAGTCAGCACCAGGGACAGGGAAACACAGTCAGCACCAGGGACAGGGAAACATAGCATCTGGGACAGGGAAACACAGACAGCACCAGGGACAGGGCAACAAAATCAGCACCAGAGACAGGGAAACACAGCATCAAGTTTTATTATGAAATAAAGTTCCAAATTCTTTGTGCTACACTGACCTGACTAACTGGATAGTGCCCTTGCTTCATCGGTTGGAGGGAGCGATCGAAGAACACATAATGAGTTGTCCTGCTGCCAACGTCTTTCTCATAGCCTCTTGTGTATGCCTGATTAACCCTAGAAAACAACATCAATACAAATTGCATAGCGCTATGAAAATCCTTTACTCACAACCATCTGTTTAACTAGAGAAGGCATTTCGAAAACGGTCTTTCATCTTCATATTATTATTATTATCATGATTTTATCACTGTACACTGAAGCTTGGTGTTACTGATAAGAATGCGGTCCCAGACTTAGAGAGGAAAAATGTTCCTCATTTTCTTGTGCATCATTCTACTTTTTTTAATCAAATCTCATTGAACACCGGGGCATGTCCCTACTCTTGTTGAAAGGTGTGGTGGGTTCTTTTTACCTACGTGGGGTATGGCCTTCACGGGACCATTTAACATCCTATCTAAAGGACGTCCCTAACAGAAGCTACGTATTCATTTTCACTGGATGGAAACAAACCCAGGACCAATGGGTTCCGAGCTAAATGTCCTACCATTACGCCAAACGACGTCATTATGTTTTTGGCGACGCCCAAGGAATGGAGGCATTTGTTGCTCTACCTAAATATGTAGTCGTGCGTGTCGATCTCCTTTCCCATGCCGGATCCGTTTAACATGCCTCCGTTCCCGACCACGGCACACGTGATGCATTCCGGCTTGCCTGAGCGGCTGAAGTTGAAGATAGAATCTTCCGCAGGAAACAATTTCAGCGTCTCAAGGACGTCTGTTGGGGAAGGAAGATGAGAATCTCAACTTGAAAGATAATCTTTGCTGGTAGAAATCATTAGGTATCAGGTTTAAACTCTAATGCCCAAGACAAGAAATGATAATATGATAATATGAATGAATGAAGACCTTTATTATACAAGCATGCCCACTGGGTTAAGTACAGGCCACAGTCAAAGGATGGTATACAGCTAATGTGACATAATCATAGTCAAGTAACTACAATTAAGTAAATTAGATACATTCGGTTTCTTCTCGTTTCTTAGTAATGGCAAAAAGAACAGGTATGTTTTAATATAGAAGGTGTCTCTAAGCTCATTTGAAATGTAAATTTATCTGTACAGCTTAGATGTATGAAAAAGGGGAACATACTATAGATTGTATCATGTCATTACCCTCCATGAAAATGGGGGTACTGTTTTTACTCCGTTTCATGTTTGGTCTGATATCTGAAGATCGGTGAGAAGGAACTGTACGATATTTGGCAGATTGATGGATGGGGCCTTGGAGATTGTGTAGGTTGACTTTGAGCCCCTGGTGATTGACCTTGGTACTGCAGTTTAATTTTTTTATTCTGTTGTTTGCGCGTTATGGACTGTTTGTGCGATATTAAGGTAGCATGTAGTTGTTATTACCATGGTTTAGTGGTTTAAATTTGGGCTTCCTAGCTGTTTGCGTTTGATATTTACAATATGTTTAAAGTTGGTCTTTTTGTGTTGAATGTTTGGAAAATCTGGTGGGTCGTTTGGTATAATATTTGGTATGTGGGTAGTTGTTGAGTCTCTTTGCGTTTTAGAGTGCATTAGCAGGTTGTCGTATATTTGTATTGCTTAATTTAAAAGGATTTCTACATTATCACCCCTATTTTATAGTAGTGTGGTCTTTGTTGACCCCAATTGGCATACACTTGTATCTATTTTTACCTCCTGTTTGACAGGCTATATATTTCTTTGGTCTGGTTATTTTTGGGTTACTGACCTGCCGGCCTTGCTAATGGGGCGGTTTGTTTGTGTACATGTTGTGATTGAGAGGTCAATGACCTCACCTCTGCAGGATTGATATCTGTGCCTCTGTACCCCCCCCCCCCCAACCTCTGTTACCAATTAGTGATGTAAATAAACTACCTCCGACCGTGTGGGGCCAGTCCTGAGTTGTATATCTGGGAGTGAAGTCGTCCCTCTCTCTCGTGACCACGTAACATCAATTTGCTCAGTTAACAAAGAGATCAGAGTAGGATTCTTGCATTACTAATAGCTATGAAATGTATATGGAATAAAGTATACCAAACACCTTGCAGGCTGCTCCATCAATTCTTCAATTCAGAACATACAAGTCTCTAAGTACTAAAACTCGCTTGAAAGTTTATCTGGGTTGGTACTTAACGTTACATGATAAAATTAAAATTGTACCAACACAAAGCAACTCCCTCATTATTTATGGCCATATAACGTCCAATTAAATTTAAACCCAGCTGTCATGTTTTAACAATGAACACATGTGATAACATAAAAAAGAACCCTAACAACACCAACCTCGTTCATGGAGGGAAGATGTCTATTGCTTGTTAAGTTCTATTATCTCTTTGTTGTAATATGCACGTGATGACACGAGTGCCAAAGACTATCTGCAACCTACTGCTCACTGAGTCACGTGTATCATCTGCAGAACATGACGTTCACAGAAGCGGTGGATTGCCCTTGACAAAGACCGGAGTTGTTTAGTAAAAAAAAATGGATAAGCCCAGTTTCATGTGTTGGAAATTACAGTCTAAACTTGCTTCATGCGAAAATCTCAAGTGTTGGCCAAATTACAAGGGCATTTTTATCGGACGTCTCCACACTTTCCATACATACAATTTGTTTTACCAACAAATTTGTACAAGCACATTGCAAGTTGGTAAATGAGAATAAGAACTAGTACCCTCACATTGTTTTTAAACTAAAAGCTTTTCTTACCTTCATATGTGATTTCTTCCTTGTACTTGTATCCATAAGGTATGGTCCATGGTTTCAGTCGCAAATATTCACTCTCATTGAACAACTTGCTGTTAGTCCACATCTGAATGTCCGGTCGAAAGATTGGTCCATACTCCCCAGACCTAAATGCCTTCTTCTGTAGAGATGTGTTACAAGTCTGGAATTGTCAAAGCAAAGCGAGAAGACTCAAGATTATGCATTATAGACGGGATGTCTTGAAAACCAAATGACAACAAAAACAGTGTGTAAAATAATACAAGTATCGGAAATGTTCATACAAGAAGTTTGCTCCAATGATGAGAAATTGAGCTTGTACGGCCTTCTAAAAGTGGATTTTTAAGACTCTCTAGCAAGCTTCCCAATTGCCCACTTCGGGCATCTCTATATTTTATTTTGCATTTCTGTGCCTTTTTCCTGAGTTGACATCATTGGGTGTGACATCAGCTCGGGAGAAAATATAGATATGCAAAATAAAATGTAGACATGCAAATCGCCTGCCAAGACTTTTCCAAGGTAGGGCATTAGAATTTCAAATGTAATAGGAGAACTGTGCATATTTATTGTAAATGTGTCTGTTTGCCAGGTAATACTAGTTATGTCAATTACAATCAGCTGAGGTCTTATATGGTGTCATGAGCACTTTAAACGAAACCTTCTGCCAAAGTGCTTTCCACAATACATTATGTGGTTCGTGGAGGCAGGCAGTACGTTATGCCGACGTGCAGAGGTAACCATAAATAGTAAATTGGAATCTGTAGGTACAGTCACACAACAATAACTTTATACATATGCAGACCCTTCATGACCGTTGGCTAGGCCATGTTGATTTGATTATATAGATGGCCTCCCCTGGAAAGCCGAAAACTGACGCTCGACGCAAGTGTGTGAATGAAAAGTCTGGCAAAAAAATTCTTCACTATTAAATCTACGTGATCATAAAGATTGAATAAATTACTAAACACACAGAGTACTGTGTGGCGATTTATAACAGACTCTTCATTTTCATTTCCTGAATTGATTTAGACAGTATCGTTTTCCAATACTTTTGTTGCAACATATGACATATTTGCTCATTTTAATGTGTAGATTTACAGTAATGTCAAAACCTTTTTTTCTTTTGGAAACGGACGAAAATCCATGCGCGCGCGGATGCCATCCATATGATCAAATCAACATGGCCTAATCTCTAACATTTAGACACTGTACAATTGTATGTCACACATGAGACACCATTGACCAGTTCACTTTGGTTTGGAAGCCATTACAATATTTTCTGGTGACTTACGGAGTTCTTCCAGTTTGGGTTTTGCCTGAAGATGAAAAAGTCTGTCCCCTCGTTTTCTTTTGCGCCACCTTTGATATATGGCATGCTGAACAGTGGACCTAGTCGTGGCTCGGGTTGGATGTAAACCGTCCGATTAAGTCCAGTGTCAGCAGTGGCAGAATTGCCAAAACGGGTTCTCTCTGCTTTTCTGGTATAATAACAATTAGTAAATTGACATGCATGCAATATATTGTTTTATAATAATTGTTTTATTGCAAACTCATGCCCGAGGGCTAATTGCAGGAACAGAAGATTAGTATAAAAACAGACAGTTAGTACACAAAGAACTTCTGAGAAACTCCTAAGAAACTACTAGTAAAAAACTACTGGGTCTGACTTCTTTTTTCAAAAGAGAGGAAGGCAAATATAAAGGTTCACACTTTTTCTGTAATTTGTAGGTTTTTAATTTAAGAGGAGAGTAGTTTTCTTTTCATTTGTATATGTGTGAATGTTGGGGTAGACTTTGAAGGCTACGTCAAAGAGTTCATTTTGTTCATTGCTATAGAGGGAACAATTTGAGATAAAATGCGTTTCGTCTTCCACCGTATTTAACATACAATGTTTGCAAATTCGTTCATGCACTTGGAGCTTCTTACACCGACCTCTCTCTATTTCGAGAAGTTGTGCACTAATTTTTGTATTCTATAATTACTTATTGTAGAGCTAATGTTAAAATCAACTTAGAGCAGGTATTTTTTATGGAATATGTTGTTTTAACATTTTTGTAGAACCTTAGCTTACCAGAATCAACATTTGTGGGAAATAGTTTGTACATACATATCAGAAATTCTTGACCTTAACATGGTGCATACCGATTTGATCTCACAAGTAGAATTACATGAATATAAAAAAAAGAGTATCTCTTTTTTGTACTATTGTTAAGGAAAATAATGCTGCCACATGGTGGAATAAATTGAGACAAATAAATCTAAGGCACATACTTAGGTACGACGCTGACATCTAACCGTGTCTCGTGTCGGGTTCGGTTAATTCCAGTGTCAGTAGTGGTAAAATCAACAGCCAAGGTTCTCTCCTCTGTTCTAATATAATGACAATTCACACACGTTTTTGCTCTATTGTTAAAGGCATCCAAGGCAATTTCATGGTGGCAAAACAGGAAATATTCTGAATAAGGCAATTTGTATGATATTGACACATACTGCCCCACATTAGCACATTTGACTCAGTATTTTGTGCTTAAGGTATTCCAAACTGCAGAAACAAGCCACAGGATTAGTCCTTTATTTTCTGGGTGGTACCTAAACATCAATCCAGGTCCTTCTAGTAATCATTTTTGCGTCAGAAAGTTGGTCATTTTGCTCCACGAATGTCGATATACATAGGGACAGTGTTGTTTTAGCTTAGCAGGTAGATAAGCGACTGGAAGATTGGCTTTGAAAAATCTGGTTTCCAAGCCCTAAAACCTGCACTTGATGCCCTTAAGAAAACTAATTTGAAGTGGACGCCGACGTAATACGGCCACATATACATGTATGTGTGTGTATGTAGGTATGTATATTATGTACAATGACGCCAGGGAAGTATCAAATGAGATATGGTGGACCAAAAATAGATTTACTTTCTTTTATTTCAAACAGACGATGGGAAAGGTGCGGAAGAAAACAAAGATGCATACTTGAGTAAGACGGTGACATCTTCTATTCTTACTCCTCTGTAGTAGCTTCGAACAGCCAGGGAGTTGGTCCTCCATAGAAAATAGAATACCAGCAAGACACCTCCAGCCAAAACCGCCATTGCAGAACGTTTCAACATATTGGCCGAGTCTAAAACATTATTTGTATAAAGGAGACATCAGTGCAATTAATTGCAGGCTTTCTGCTGAATGTCGTGCATTTTTTATTACCTAAAAGTCCAAATAAAAATATTTACTATGTATAATAAAACTACGCTATTTAGGCAATGTGATTTGATTATATGGATGACATCCACGCGCGCATGAATTTTCGTCCGTTTAAAAAAAAGTACTGTAAATCGTACAAAATGACCGAATATATGTCGTACGTTGAAACGATACCAATGTCATAGAATACTAAAGTTAATTCAGAAAAAAAGGAAATATGAAGAAATGAACATGAAGAGTCTATTATTATTCGCCGTACCATACTCTGTGTGTTTAGTCATGTGTTAGTCCGGGGGTCCCAGAGGATGTCATCCATATAATCAAATCAACATGGCCGTAAGGTAATAAAAGTACCGTGCGCACAGATTGCATGTAAATCGATCGTTAAGGTTAATATATTCAATGTGATATGTAGCCATAGACATAGAGATGAAGAAGAGAGGACAGCTGCCATGTAGAAGTAACTAAGACCAGGGCAATGGTTCATAGAAATGGCATCGTTAGACAGCTTGAAACAATTAGAGTTAGATGTTAAAAGGTTGGGTGTAACAAGACGTTCGGTGTAATGTAGCGAGCAGCGTGCCTGCAAAGCTGGTGTGTTACTCCGAAGGACGGTTTTACCAGCTATACTCAGTCTGATATATATACAGGTACAGATACAGAGTAGTCAAATATGAATTAGAATCGGCAGTAGTTTGTAGACGAATGCATGGTTCATTGATATATATCAAGGATTCATAGTTAGAAAGTTTAAGCTTGTTCCAACACAAAAAAAGAACTCACCATAAATTTTCGGTTGATCACGTTAACCTTTGTCAGAAAATTTATAGTGAGTTCTTTCCTTGTGTTGGAACAAGCTTGGACGTTCTAACTATGGATTCTACCAACACAGATGAGCTTTCATTCGAGCAAGGATCACATTTACGTATTGTCATTTTAGCAACAGAACGGCATGGTGGGACCTGTGCTTACCTGCAGCCGCCATCAGTTCCTGGTGCATGCGAACGATTTGTTTACGGAAGTTCCTTAATTAATTAATCAATTCACGAGATTAATCCGTAAACAGTAGAAATTTCCGCGGGGCATGTTGGACCTTGAGAGCCAAAGAGCTGGCCTGTATAGCCAGGACAAGAAACAGCCATGCCTTCAAATATCAGAGTTATCAACCAAGAACTATTGTAGAATGGAACTCTTTGCCACCAAGCACAGTTGGAACATCATCACTAGAAAGCTTTAAGCAACTCCTACAATGAAATGTGCAAAAACTGTATGTAACAAGCCGTTCAGTGCGATATAGCTAGCTGGTGTGTTATAACGAAGCTGGTGTCTTTCGCCGACGGGTGGTTATACCGGCTATACCGATACCGATACAACTCTCTGAATTGCACAGTTAGGATTTAGTTTATCTATTCACGGCGGTCTGTCACTACGGTATTCTTTCCCATTGCTAGGGGGGTTTGAAAACGTATCAGGTTACAAGACGCAAGTTTGGCCTGTTTTGGACTACCCGTAAACCATTTGAAAATAAACAAATAGTATTGAAGGGTAGATTCCGTCAAGATAAAATGAAATTATCGTGTTTTACATAGGTTTAATGTTAGTTGTTTACGTTAAATTACTGATTTTGAAAAATCTCGCTCCAAAAGACGATTTTTTGCGGGATTTGGAGCGCCAGTCCGAGACAGTCCGAGTCATGTTTTTCGGCAAACACCGTTTAAGATTGGCTACGTATGTTACCCAAAATCCCCGATTTTTATATTTTTGGACGACTAGGAATAAGATCAAAAATCGTGTCTTAGGAATTTTTTAATTTCTGATTTTAAGTATAGTTTTTGTCGACATAAATGTGAAAAAACGGCATTTTTTGACATTTTTCGCACTCAATTGCTCATAATTCAAAATCAAGGTCCTTTTTCGAAAATCCCTAAGACACGATTCTGGACAAACCCGTTACGGTCATTTTGAGCCGTCAATGAGATATGTTGGACTCTCCATGCTTCCAATCTTAAACGAGTTTTTGACGCATGTCATACGTCATGAATATGAGTAGTGTTTATTTAGGCTGATGAGTACAGGCATTGCGATCTTCAAGGTCACCCACGATAACGGCAGTAGCTTCGTTTCATGTTCCAGCCCACTACAAAATGAAGGCAGACATGTAGTTGTCCAGGAAATGGAAAATATTTGTTAAAAGGTGGATTTTTTCTGTTAGGAGGTACACATGAAAAAAGGGGCCAGAAGACCCATGTTTACTGTAAATGACCGCGGGTGACCCCGTTTCGAACACTGTTCTATTCGAATTACGTCATATCGAACACGGTTCGGGTTCTACTGCAGGTGGGGAGATCGGGGCCCAATTTTGACCACCGTGATTTCTTTAATCTGAAAGTTGGACTGTTAGGAAAACAGGCTAGCTTTTGAACGGGACTGGGACAGGTAAGCAACCCTACGCCGGCCCCTGGATTTAATGGTACCAGGCTACAACAATATTTTTGTATTATATCCGGATACTAGTTATCCAGTTCTATACCAGCTGAATGGGTACGGGCTAGGATCAGGCACGATTCTGGATAGCCTATACGTATCCAAGAACGTAGCTTTGTCCCAGGCACGGTTCTGGATACGCGTTAACTATCCAGAGCCGTTCCTGAATATGGTTCTGGATAAAGCACGGTTCTGGATACATCAGCTGGCGCATAGACATATCGATCTGTTTGTAATGATCCTTTGTTGCCTTATTGCGTTCAGCAGGACAGTGACTTACAAAGCTTAGAGTGTTCGTCTGGTGCTACAGGTTTGTTACGTGGATGTGTTGGGCAAATCGTGTGCTCTGACAGAAATTGCTGGGCAGCGATTGTAATTTTCACACTTTTGATTAAAAAAATCTGGGAGATTTTGAGGGCCTCCAGGGGGATACCCAGAACTCTGGTACAAAACACACCCAGGGAGTTTTAATCATATGGCTGTTAATACTTCCCCATACCTATCCCGCATACAAAACATGAGCGGATTTGGCTGACCCCCATATTCCGGCTATTGGTGATGTTTGCCTGGTTTCTCATGCAATGACTCTTCAAACACATCCAGTGATGTTTGTGACCATCGTCTTGCGATAACACCGTTCTTGGGAGTTCCTAAACTCTACAAATTTGTAACCTAAACGTCTCATTGCGTACAGCTTGTCAAAAAATACAGTACTTCAACTGAGAATTTGACACGAAGTTAAACCAGTTAAGATAGACAAAGAGAACAGAAACAACATACCTGTACAGTGAAATGTGTTACCGGGACACTACTAAAGTAAACTGCTAAACAAAATCGGTGTGCCGGAACTGACGACGGAGGGAGACGAGAGCCCTAGAATCTAGGAGGGCCTGCAGGGGGGTGGGGGGTGTATAGTGATTTACGAATTACGCAAAATTTTCGCCGCCGTTTACGAATTACGTTAAAATCTAAGAGCTGATTACGACTTGACGCTTTGCTGCTAATGAGCTATTACGAATTACGTTGATTTTTGGGAAGGGTGTGTACGGATTACGAAGACTAAAAAGACCTGATTATGCCAATGGCATGCAGGCCCCCTTCTAGGGCGCTTCCAGCTATTTTATCTCGCACGCGGAAAGGCCTCTGCATGGCGGAGGTGTGGTCATGCTTTGGCCAATGACGCGTCTGCATATGAGCCACGTGCTCTCACCACGTGTCTCCAGACCGTCTAACGCAGTGATTGGTCCGTAACAATTTCAAGTATGAAGCAGATGCACAGCAAATAGCTGGTCTTTGGAACTATTATCCTTAGTAAGGCCACACCGACTTAATCTTATGGATGACATCCTTTGAAGACCTCCAAACTAGTGCGCGTGGGCGAATAAAGAAATTCCGACCAAAAATAAAAGTGCTACTAAACCACAGGAATACCAAGCCGGTATTGTGAATTTGCGGCAGTACATAGCGACGTATACGACAAGCCGGCACATGCTGTTTTTTGGGGGGAATTTATAAATCGGCACTGTACTGAGTCGTGGAGCTTCGGTAGCCTGGGAGGATGCGTGATAAGGTACGCTATATATAGGGGTAACATATATTTTATCGTTCATAACTTGGAGTGTGGGGCATGCATATGTATAATATTTGATAGGTAGGTTGGAACAACAAAGGTCGATGTCAGTCATGGGAGCTCTAGCGGCTCTGTGCGATACTGCAGCTGTGTACATGGTATAGAAAATGGAAGTCACCCTGTTCTTTCACCCCACTCCGGTTAGCAATACTATTATATCCACGATCCATTGTATTTTATCTTTTCGTACAAACTTTATTCAACCTATTGTAGATCTTTGTTGATACAGTTAATCGACAACCATACACTAAGTTCCGGGTATTTCTGAGGTCAATAACCGGATATCTGTCAGAACAAGTTAAAGACAGTGTTCGAACAAATTCAGAAAGGTTGAGTACGGGTCCCTAACAGCTTGTTCCGGAACTGCAGGGACATCTTTGTTCGAATTCCGGCGGTGAGTCGGATTCCTTGAGTTGGACACAGGGGGGGAAATGATACTATCCCATCATCCTTTGCAATACACATCCCACAACACGTGTCCCAGATGGCTGACTGTCAGCACCAGGCATATAGTCTTGTCATGTTTCCTTTAAAAGTGCAGCAATGGCAACAATTTGACCAGTAATTTTTGGTTCTTTGAATTATCAAAGGACTCAAGTAGTGTATGAGGCTATCTGACTTTTGTAACTTATGTACAACTTCTTACATTGTGTCTTAAACATTTATGCAAACATTTGCTTCAAAAATGGTGCTCAAACTTTACCAAACTAAAGTGCTTTTCTACAAACTCTGTTGATTGGTGATATTATACATCTTGTGCATCAGAAAAACCCAAATGCACCAAAAAGCACCCATGGGAAACGGAAGAAAATTGCATTTGTTGATGATTATTACATAAATAATATCAAATATAATATTTTCTTCTGTTTCCCATGGGTGCTTTTTGGTGCATTTGGGGTTTTCTGATGCACAAGATGTATAATATCACCAATCAACAGAGTTTGTAGAAAAGCACTTTAGTTTGGTGAAGTTTGAGCACCATTTTTGAAGCAAATGTTTGCATAAATGTTTAAGACACAATGTCATAAGTTACAAAAGTCAGATAGCCTCATACACTACTTGAGTCCTTTGATAATTCAAAGAACCAAAAATTACTGGTCAAATTGTTGCCATTGCTGCACTTTTAAAGGAAACATGACAGGACTATATGCCTGGTGCTGACAGTCAGCCATCTGGGACACGTGTTGTGGGATGTGTATTGCAAAGGATGATGGGATAGTATCATTTCCCCCCCTGAGTTGGACAATTAATAATTAATTCTCATTATACATAATGCTTTTTCTATGGCATACCGGAACTAAAGATGGTATATACATGTATCCCATCACAACGAATCTACGAACTTTCAGCTTTTCGGAGATGATAAGTTGACATTCCTCTTCCCTGTCTATAACAATGTAGTCTTTTATTGCCTTGTTGTTGTTCGTTCGTCGTTCATGGCATTTGTTTTCTTCCTTTTTTTTTTGCTTCCATATAACATTCAACAGTTTCTCCATTATAATCACAGATTCCTGAAAACCTATCCTCTAGATTACAATTCAGCTTGGTAGACGTTTGTGGCTGTTTCTGATCAAAATCTGTTCCTTTTTTCCTTTGTCCATGGCTCCAGAGCTAGTTGACTTGCTGTGGTGCCGTTTTGTCTTCAAAATTGATTGTTTTGCTGTCACAGTCGACCTGGATAACCCCAGTTGGAGACCCATCACAGCAGTTCTGACCAACCCCGGTGGGAGACCAGTGTCCTGCCTTTGCCGTGACCGGCCTTTTAAAAAAGGATTAAGCATTAAAAGCTGTCAATGATGAAATTGGGTTTCTAGAAAACAACGTTTAAAGAGTTAAAACTTCCCCAAGCTTTACAATTCTAAAATAATGCATAAAAACATAACTCACAAATATGCGGCGAGGGTCAAACGAAAAAAAAAGCGGATTGTCCTGGAGAACACCACAGCACTGTGGAACTGTGGAACCTCAAACTATGTTTGCGATAGCAGAAAGGCTGCCGAAGCAACCAAAACATGCAAAAACTGCAACAAAGAAGTAACCTGGGTTCGTCCCATATCCTAGGTTCTGCTTGGAGATAAGATTACAGTACCTACAGCGACCCCCTTGTTATAGCTTCTTGAAGCTCCCCACATCCGGCCAAACCGGTTTTCCTTTTACGTACCGCAGAATAATTACAGGTAACCATAAAACTACATAATTACAGGTAATCATAAAGACACGCCGCGGGAGGAAATTCTTTGGCAGATTTAAAAAGGGTCAATCTTATTGAAGACTTCTCATCATTTTAAAATCCTGTGTAATCACGGAATTAGAAGATGAGAGTAGATTCTGACAGGTTTAATCGATTTTCGTTACTGAATTTTATCACTGAGTATATAACGTTTCAACACCATTATTTCTCCATAAATACCATCAGTCAACGCGTCTTGTTTGTGAATGCCGGAGCACATTGGCTCAAATTTTAAACTCCCCCATTTAGCTTTTTATGTCGTCATCCTATATTAGAGAAGAAAGCTACTATGCCATTGACGCTACAATAAGACACAGAAAACCGGTAAGAAACCTTTTAATTTTGGTTGCAGGTTTGCACATATGTTAAATTTCGCCCTTCCCTTTTTCCATCTACCATATTTACATCCAGAAGACATATGAATCATCATCATAATGTGATTCTTCCCCTCACATTATTATCCCCAAACTCCTAAAATTGCCAAGATAAGAAATTACCGATAAAAAAAAATAAGTACATTCATCCTTAGACACTGAAACTATTTTGAGTGATGCACGATGATACAAATATGGTATAGGAAAAGTGCCACCTACATATAGTGGCAAGAAGTGCAGAAGAAAATCCCAATATCCCTCTAAAACTTGATGAAATTATCATCTATTCTTGCCACGGTGTTTTACTGAGTTTCTCACCTGTGCTGACATTCGGTACAAATCGGATTTCTGAGCTGCAGATTAGTCACTTTGTTACCACGGTTCTTCTTCTTCTTGTATACTGCTGAGCCCAATTTACATTGGATTAATAGGAGGCTTAGGAGCACATGTGTTAGTTACAAAACAGGTGACCGGTACAAATAAAAACAAGGGTAACTGAAGGAGGGGACACTAAGGAACGTACATAACTGAATCTGTGGGTGAAAAGACATGACAGTGCATTTAGTGTGTTAGTAGAACTGTATATACATATATACAAAACGTGTGGGGGCGCCTCAATGCAGCAGGGTCCTCGATCGCCAGTCCAGTTTTGAACTGGGCGAGGGACCCCGCCTCCGCCACACCAGGCTCAAGTTCGTTCCACTCTTTGATGTTACGAGAGAAGAACGAGAGCCTGTAAAAGTTGTTCCTACTCGCGATGGTCTGCAGCTTAAGAGCGTGGTTGGTGCGGCGGAAGCATCGAGCCGCCGGGACAACTCTAGACGCGTGCGGCACAGAAATAACATTGTTGGTTATCTTGTACAATGTGGCAAGTCTGGCGTTCTTCCTTCGGTTTGCTAAGGACTGCCAGCCAAGCATATTAATCATGTCGGTGACAGAACTTGTATGGTATTAGTTGTTTGTAACATACCGGGCAGCTCGTCTTTGCACCATCTCTATCCGACCCACCTGATCCTGGGTGTGTGGATCCCAAACACTGCAAGCATAATTTAAGGTATACCTGCGAAATGCCCTGAATCCACACTCCTTACACATGTAGGGTTTATCACCCGTGTGTTTCATTAAATGTAGATCCAAAGCAGGTTTGTGAGCAGCAGAATAGTAAGTCACATTCGTCACACTTCTAGGATTTTTCTCCGGTATGGGTTCTCATATGTCGGGATAAGGAAGACTTGTCAGATGTCCTGTACCCACACTCCTCACAAAGGTAGGGTTTCTCACCAGTGTGCTTTAAAATATGTTGGTCTAGAGAGAATTTATGTGCTGCAGAATAGTCACACTGGTCACACTTGAAGGGTTTTTCTCCTGTATGAGTTCTCATATGCTGGAATAAGGTGGACTTGTGAGTTGTCCTGTACCCACACTCCCCACACATGTAGGGTTTGTCGCCAGTATGGTTTGCTAGATGTTTCTTCAAATTGGCTTTTAGTGTTGCAGAATAGTCACACTGGTCACACTTGTAAGGTTTTTCCCTTGTATGGGTTTTCATATGTTGAGATAAGTGAGATTTGTAAGCTGTCCTGTATCCACACTCCCCACACATGTAGGGTTTCTCACCGGTGTGTTTTGTAAGATGTAGATTCAAGTGAAATTTTCGTGTTGCAGAATAGTCACACTGGTCACACTTGTAGGGTTTTTCTCCAGTATGAGTTCTTATGTGGTTGGTTAAGTGGGACTTATGACCTGTCCAGTATCCACACTTCTCACACATGTAGCGTTTTTCACCGGTGTGTTTTGCTTTATGTTCATCTAAGGTGCCTTTGTGGGCTGCAGAATAGTCACATTGGTCACACTTGTAGGGTTTTTCACCTGTATGGGTTCTTAAATGTTGGGATAAATAAGACTTGCAAGCTGCCCTGTACCCACACTCCCCACACATGTAGGGTTTTTCTCCTGTATGGGTTCTCATATGTCGCGATAAGTGAGATTTGTAACCAGTCCTGTACCCACACTCCTCACACATGTAGGGTTTCTCACCAGTGTGTTTAACCATGTGCCTTCCCATATCACCTTTGCTCCCCTGTACCTGTGAGGTTGACTTGTTGACTGGTCGGGGAAAGTTCACATCACACGTTTCCTGCTGCGGGATCATGTCTGTTGTTTGGGTCTCCCTGCTGTCACTCTCCTCCCCAGGGTGTTCAGAACAGCTCATCTTCTTCCCAGGGTGTTCAGTATAGTCCATCTCCTTCCCAGGATGTGCAACACACAGGTCTCCAGTACGTTCACAGCTGGAATATTCCATATCTGGTGTGTAGGGGGAAGACACAAATTATACTCTATACTTATACAGGTATATACTTAATTACAGTTTATCAACAAAGTAATCAAGTTTCTTGCCGAAGCATCACTATTTTATTTCAATAATTAGAACTTGTAGACTATCATGACCCTCAAGTCAGCCAAGTCCAGATTAACCAACATGGCGTTATACGAAGGCCTACTACTAACTACGCCTTACGAAAAGGAGCATGCGGACCCCCTAAATGTGTGTCCCTGCCCTTTTCACCCACCGCCAATTAAGCTGTAAACACGTACTATACAATTTCCTATTGTCTCTACAGTCAGACGCCTGACCCAATCATGTCAACCTAACACCTTTCCGCTCCAGTTTTCAGGTAATAGCGCATATTATTCTGGAATGTCCACTTTTAGATCTTCTACAAATTTGACCATAACGCTTTTTAATTTTTTTTCTACAACCACAATATGTTACCAATTGTATTCCGTTTTTCCTAATATTCTCATAAATGTCAAAGTCTTACTTAAGCTGGCGAGGGTATCGTGTAATGATTGGTTTTGACCCCCCCCCCTCCCCATGAATGTACCAGTCACACAAATTATCATCACGCGTCACCAAAAAACCTCTAAAATACATTTACTGTGATTCTTTTGCCACAGAAATGACCTCAAACTGTTACGCTCTTTTACAGAATATCGTTCGTTTTTAAGCCTTACCTGCTTCCTGTGATGTTTTTTTTCTTCAGGGAAACCGGGATTCGGTCAGCCAGGTGAGCTTTGTCCTTCCGTCGTAATGAGAGGTCAGAGGTGAATTTTTGTTGGTCAAAGGTGAATTTACTCTCCTGATTTCCAAGATAACATACATGTATGTTACATGTACTTCTGTCACCACGTCAATAAGTTTGTTACAGGAATAAACAAAAGATAAAACTGACCAAAAGACTACATGACTGTATATTTGACACGTATATCTTATATGAGCTTAGCATACGGACAAAAGCATATTATGGAATTTTTTGTTAGAAGTGAGGTGGAAAATCTTCCATAGAGCTAAAAAAGCATCAAGACTTTCTGCAAGAAAACCAGGACTTTTGTTTTACATGTACCAACACAGAGAACATGTATGTTTGTATGTAGATGTTAGAATTGAGTTGAGACTCATGTAAATAGAGATTAGAATGGAGTTTACTTGTAAATCTTTTTAACCGTTTAAAGCTAAACCGATTTTTTTAAGTTATAGTAGTCGGCACGAAATGCAATCAACGTACATGTACATGTATGTAACGAAACATGCAATTCAGCCTTGAGGCTGTGAAATATTTTAAATCAAAGAACCGGTTATCAACAGAAAAACAAGTCATAGATCTTTAAATATTTCAATTTTTTATTTGTTTTTGTGGTGACAAATTTTAGCGTTTTCCTATGTGATACTCCTTGGGCCTTATATTATGATGACATAAATATCTACAGTGAATGATAAATATCCCTTTCACAACAAAATCAGTACATCCATGCCTAGGTGCTTAAACTATTACAAACACATGTGCAAAACTACATCTATACAGCATTAGGTGTGGTTTTAGACAGGCCTTAGTACAAGCCGCACTTTTGGGCACATTTGCCATAATCCTCGACTGCCTGCCTGAATATGTCTGCCTACGTCTTTACTACGGGGTACATGTAGTTATTGGGCCCAGGTACAGATTAACACAGCTATCATGGTCACTCCTGGAGAGGTTCTTCTTCCATTTTGACTTTCACTTCACATGAGGACAAAGTTGTCGGTTGTTCATTTGTCACAGTTGTAGATTTAGCTTCTTTCTCATGACTTATCAAATGAGAAGACATGAGATGTTTCGAAGCTGCAGAGTAGCTGCAGAGATGGCAGTTATAAGGGTTTTCTTCTATGTGGGTTTTCATGTGTTGGGATAAGGCATACATTAAGTTTGTCCTGTACCCACACTTCACACACATGTAGGGTTTCTCGCCAACGTGTTCTGCTAGGTGTTGGTCAGAACCAGATTTCCGTGCTCCAGAAGAGTCATTCTGGTCACATTTGTTGGTTTTTCCTCCTGTATGGATTCTCGTATGTCGGGATAACGTGTCCTTTCGACCTGCCCTGTATCCACACTTCCCACACATGTAGGGTTTCTCACCAGTGTGTTTTGAGAGATGTTGGTCCAATTTGGATTTCCGAGCTGCAGAATAGTCACAATGGTCACACTTGTAGGGTTTTTCTCCTGTATGGGTTCTCATATGACGAGATAAATTAGACTTCCAATCCGCCCTGTAGCCACACTCCCCACACATGTAGGGTTTCTCACCAGTGTGTTTCGAGAGATGTTGGTCCAAAGTGGATTTGTGCGCTGCAGAATAGTCACAATGGCCACACTTGTAGGGTTTTTCTCCTGTATGGGTTCTCATATGTTTGGATAAGTCAGCCTTTCTAGCTGACCTGTACCCACACTTCTCACACATGTACGGTTTCTCTCCAGTGTGTTTGGTGAGATGATAGTCTAAATGGCATTTGTGTGCTGCAGAAAAGTCACACTGGTCACATTTGTAGGGTTTTTCACCTGTATGTATTCTCATATGTTTGGATAAGTCAACCTTTCGAGCTGTCCTGTACCCACACTCCCCACACATGTGGGGTTTCTCACCAGTGTGTTTGGTGAGATGATAGTCTAAATGGCATTTGTGTGCTGCAGAATAGTCACACTGGTCACATTTGTAGGGTTTTTCACCTGTATGTACTCTCATATGTTTGGATAAGTCAGCCTTTCGAGCTGTCCTGTATCCACATTCCCCACAAATGTAGGGTTTGTCACCCGTGTGGTTTGTTAGATGTCTGTCCAAAGAAGATTTCTGTGCGGCAGAATAGTCACACCGGTCACACTTGTAGGGTTTTTCTCCTGTATGGGTTTTCATATGTCGAGATAAATCACACGGTTGAGCTGCCCTGTACCCACACTCCCCACACATGTAGGGTTTCTCACCAGTGTGTTTTGCGAGATGTCTGTTCAAAGAAGATTTCTGTACTGCAGAAAAGTCACACTGGTCACATTTGTAGGGTTTTTCACCTGAATGTATTTTCATATGTTTGGATAAGTCAGCCTTTCGAGCTGCCCTGTACCCACACTCCACACACATGTAGGGTTTCTCACCAGTGTGCTTGGTGAGATGATAGTCTAAATAAGATTTCCGTGCTGCAGAATAGTCACACTGGTCACACTTGTAGGATTTTTCTCCAGTATGGGTTTTCATATGCTTGAGTAAGTCAGACTTTTTACCTGTCCTGTGCCCACACTCCCCACACATGTAGCGTTTCCCACCGGTGTGTTCTGCTAGGTGTTGTGCTGATGCATATTCCCCATGATTTTCTCCGGTATGGCTGTTCATAGTAAAGGATGACTCGGGAATTGTTTTAAAACTGCTCTCCTCACTCTCCAATGTTTTGTCTTCAGTTTCATCCATTTCTCTTCTCTGTTAGGAAAGAAACAGAAATCCAGAATAAATCAGGGCAAAACAATTTCTAACTAGAAAGGCCGACATTTGCTTAGGAGCAAATGCAGCATGGCTTCACCACATCCCCATACACAAAAATGTCCCTTCCACACTAATGTATTGTTCCTAAATCACCCCTGAATTGCTCCTCAATCACTCCTAATTGTGCCTAAATCACTCCTAAATCACTCCTAAATCCTCCTAATGTCAGAAATGCAAAAACACTCAGGGTCTTCAAGACTACTTTTTCTTTACTCAACAGTTAATATGATTTGTTGTTAATTTTCCATTTTGCTTTTAGACATTGATATGCAAATTCAGTTCCATTATTATTTATATCATTTGTC